AAGAGAACAAATTTAGGGATAAATGAAATAATCTGCTAAACACTATTGCCCCAAAATCTCACACAAAACAGCACTCCTTATCCAACACAGCAAGAATCGTTTATTTACTGGTCTACTAATTCACTTCATTTCTTTTTAACTAAATGCTAATTAATATTAGGTAAAAAGTAAAAATCATTTCCTCTTGACTAGTTTTATCTAATCTTCTATTGATTATCTTTATCTTTTTCAACATATCTTCATCATAGGGCAACAAGATACAAGGGTTTATAAACTTCGCTTGCGGCTTCATAATTCTAACAATTTACAGTATTATTATTATTTTAAAATGTACCTGATTAGTGTTGTCATTTCGAAGCGATGACCAAGACCAGGAACCTCAAATGCAGGACCACTCCTATGTCAAAAAAGTTATGCAGTAACAGACAATCAATGACATGATGATCAAGGAAGTTACATGAGATTTGGTCACTAATAAACACCTCTATGAAATATTTCTAACAAAACAGCCGAGGAACATGTAAAAAAGAAAAAAAACAAGTAATCAGGTTATCTTAACCTTGGTTCAATCCTGGGCCTACTGGGCTCCGTAGGATAAGCAAACCAAACGACTAATAGTTGATTACATCCCTGAGAGCAAAGGACAGCGAACTTATTGCTTGAAAGTATTTCAAGGGAAATATAGTAAGTACTAGAATAATTTACCCTCACCACATAAGTTCTGTGCAGGGCACCAATAGCTGCCGCTGCCATCTCTCTATTTAAGAACTTCACGAAGCAGATCCCTTCACAAATTATTTGGACAATATAAGATGAAGATAATAAAAATCAAAGTTTACACAATATGTGAAAGGATAGACCTCGACTATGCTGCAAATCATCTCAAAAGATGGACATCGACAACATGACCAAATTTAGAAAAGATCTGCAACAAGATCTATCAAAACTTTTAACTGAATTTTCAAAAGATAACTTGATTGAGAGCACAAAAGCTTTCGTGGAGTCAAGAGTTAGATGATTCCCAGATAGATATATTCCATCTAGATTTTTAATTTTCATCTTATGGAAGTAATTTCAGCATGTGCTCTAAAAAAGTTCTAACCCAACAAAAGAAGACACAAGACAGCACGAGAAACAGATCCATTCATAAAGCATAACATTTCCCATGAACCCCGCAACTGATGGCAGGACGAAATAACTTTTAACTCCATGTATTCATAGTGCTTACTTCTTAAATTTCCTGTTCCGTGGCATGCTTATTGACTAAAGCCACATACAATTTGTCTTCTGCACGCACATGTTAAACAAGCATCAAAACAAATAAAACTGACAGTTAACATTTATTAAAAAAAATCCTAAATATAGCGCGATCAAGTAAAAATATATAATATATAACACGAATGTAACTTGTATTGAAAAAGACCTCATTTTTTGCCAATAAAAGACTATCTGCTGTTAGAAATATAGATATGCAGAATAAAAATATTTAACAGGACTATTGAAATAAATTCCTTAGTTCAAAATAATAAGTATGCTATTTTGTCAGATTTATCTGGTAGTTTTATATTCAGATAAAGTAATAGAATTGATTACTAGATCTAATGAACTTCATATCACTAAGAAATCATTTCAAGTACTATATTCTAAAATGTTCCTAGTCGAACAAGTAAGATCGAGACATGATCACTTGGTAAAGACTAGTGTATACTTTATTTCTCCTTTGGAAGGATGATGATCCATCTCTTAGATCATTGATGTGAGACACATCAGATATAGTATACAGTGACTCATTAGTGAATGAGTTGACTGAACGACTACTGAGAAAATCTAGTTTGGTAATTATACTTAACTGTCAAAATAAAGTTCTCAAGTGATATAGTACATAGTAGTCTCATGACCTGAGGCATGAGTGCAAATATTTACATGTCAGTATAGGTGTACTTAGACTTTTACCTAACACAGTTCTCATCGAGTTGTCATAACCGTTCTTGTTGGGTACATCCCGAGGATAAGTAGATATTGAGATCCAAGATGGGATTCGTCTCTCCAGTATAGGGGGTTGATGTCATAAGATTGTTTTATATACTATAACGCTGAAAATCCTTGCCAAGGTAAATAAGATAAACTGATTGTCAGTTTGATCTTATAGGTTATTGAGTTTAATATCAAACAAAATATCTACATTAGAGGTTTGACAGTTTTCATACCCTAGCTTAATGTTTGACATTGTTTGACGAAGAGACCGACTGTACGGCATTATCACTGAGTGGTCCTGAATATAATTGTGTTAGCATCTTGCAGACATTATATCACAACTTATACCCGGGTAGTCTTCATGTGTAGCTAGCACCTTGTTACCTGTGGATATGATCTACTGCCGAGTTCTTAAGTTGGGCCCAGTACACACAGGTCAACAAGCCGCGTACTTGAATCCTATGAAACACAATTTATAGAGTGATCGCGTAAGATGATCGCAACTTATGATTTTATCGATACACAAAACAGTTATTGTATATCGATAAATCGGAATGCTATGTGCTTAGAAATAAATTCTAGTTATTTTTCCTATAAAGTTAACTTTAGTCAACTAGTTGACTTTTGGTCAACTAGTTGACTTTGGTCAACTCATTGACTTTTTGGTCATAATGACTTATTAATCAATGATTGAAAATTACAAAATACTATATTTATGAAAATACAATATGATTTGTGTATCTCATTTATGAAATACACATACCATGTATAATGAGTCATGAGATGAGTCATTTAGTGGTATGGTTTGAGCACTGGTTTATTAGCACAAGTGGTTTTGAAATGTAATGATTCATGAGATGATTCATTGCATGACTCACTAGATTAATCATTGATTTTGATGATTCATTGCATGACTCATAGATGAGTCATTCATGTCATGAACACATTCACTCTATAAATATGAGCTCTCTTTCTTATGGAAAGGTTAATGAAAAATTGGCTAAGTGGTTTTTCCATAAGAGAATAAAAGAGAGCTCTCCTCTTACTAATTTCTAGCAATCTTGAGTAAGAGAAAGTAGTAGGATTTTAAAGTACCCGGGGTGGATATCTTGCCTTGTGTCTCAAGAAGAACTCCGATTTTATCAAGCTCACTTGAAGACTTGAGATACCACTACGAGGAGATTTACTACTACAAGGAGCAAGATTAGGGGTTGTTCGATTCTTCCATCGATCACGCTTCAAAAGTAGGACTTTATAACCCTTGTATGCTCTCTTTAATATAGGATTATGTTAGATTTAATTAGAATGGTCCTATAATGTATTTCATGCTCTCTACATGCATAGCATAATTATACATATAGTCTTTCGTTGCGTATTTTGCATGTATGAAGCATGGATTCCCTTCATGGTATCCGAGCGCCATGGTTCCATCTAAATTAAATCTTAACATGCATATCTAACTCATAGAGGACTTTGTCTTGCTTCTAATTATTAGTTTAATTAAAAGATGTTTAATGAAATAGTTAATTTATTCAAGTTGTTTTTGTAATAAAATTATACTAGTTGTTGATTCAAAAATGTTATTTTGTTCATATGTTTTTAGGAGTAAAAACTTGTATAAATTGCAAACATTTATTTACAACTAGTGTAGTTGTATGTTAGAAGCATGATAGTCTTATTTGAGTTAGGATAATCCCTATGTTATCTAGTTTTCCAATTTGTTGCATAACTAGATAGATGCATATTTCTTAATGTTGATTAAGTTATATGTTTTATATCTTGCATGGATTTATGTTTATGGAATGGTATGGACAACGATTCTCTTGTATTTATTGTATTAAATGGTTATATAACTAGAAATGTAATATTATTTTGACCTCTTCCCTCCCCGAGCATGGGCTACGCCTACGGGTTTTGGGCACTTGCTCACCCGATCATGGTAGCCCTATGGGTATAGGCCTTGTTCGGTGTGTGGGGGTATGGTTATTTAGTTTAGTTATTTCATTTATGGCTTTTATTTTTACATTCAATGCAATATTATTACCCTACTACGAGATGGTTTTTCTCATTATAAATGGGTGTCACGTCCTATGTATATGTGAATGTAATAATACAGGATTTGCAAGGGAGCTAGCCAATGTAAGGGAGTTGCAAATTGCCTGCCAAATGTAATTTAGTGTAGTTGCATTTTATTCCTTAAGTTGTCCACTACCATTCCATATTGCTTTTAATATGTTGATATTGTTGTTGTGCGCCTAATTGTAATTGTCTAAATAAGCAATGGAAAGGTGCTATATTTTTACAAAGTTTATATCCTCTAATCTCATTAGACGAATAAGTTTTTATTAATAAAAACTCATTTTTTAAACTTTGTTGAGACATGGCAATAAGAGTTATGACCATAGAGTAGTCGAATCGACATTAACATCAGTCTTAGTGTGAAAGATAAATAAACCTAAAGCATTAAAGAGATGTATTTAGAACGAACTTTAACTAGTGTCTAGGAAAGTGATTATAAGCATATAACTCATGGGGTGATGCCAACTAAACTGATGCAAAGTTCATTTCGCCGTTATAGTTTGTAAAGATGAAGTGGGTTACGTTAATTAAGGTCCATAAATATTCCCGGTGAATTAGCTCGGAACCTCCCACCAATCTTCGGCGCTTTCCTGGCTAAGTTTAATTGTTGCCAAGTAAAATATAGAGCCATCTTTAAACTATATCAGTTCGATTACGGTAAAGAGATTTGAGAAATCGTCCGTATAGCCGCTCATCATTTTAGTTAAGATTCTATAAGCTTATAAATTCCATGTTTGTTGGCATACGTCAAGTGGCCATAACTTAGTTCTACTGCTAAATAGGTATTTCATACTGTATATAAGATATAAGATAGCTTAGGTGGTTTATGACAACTTTGTTGGCATAACGTCAGAGTTTGCCATAAGTTAAACTTTAAAGCCAGTCAAGAAATGATGGGTCAAACTTGATAGCATTTTATGATTTGTTGGCATACGTCAAGGTCATTAAAAGACTAGGCGGTAAAATCATATCAAGAATTACAAGAGTGTAAAAGACAAAATGTTGTTCTACCAATTATATGAATGTGTATTGTGGACATACGCCAAGGTTGATGCATCAAGTGATAATTGGATCTTTGATTCCACTTGAAACAAGGGGTTGTTTTCGATCACCCTCTATATAGGTTTTGAGGGACTTGAGAAATAGTGGGAGGCATACTTAGATAAAAATAAACCAAATCTATTTTAATGTATTGAACATCTGCTAAAATAATTTTTTCTCTCTTTCGCCATTATGCTGGCTTTAAAATCATATCACAAAGAACAAGTTAACCGAATCCAATTTCATAGACTGGTTGAAAATGTTAAAGGAAACACAGAATTCTTAGCCATCACACATCAAGGAATAAGCAAGTTGTTGCTTCATTCTTCAGGTGTGTTTGTTACTCAGCAATTGTTTTTCTTAAATCCTCATCTTGGGTATTAGATACCGAGACTCAGGACTGCTCACATCATGTTAAATTGTTACAAGGATTGCAGAGCTAATAGAAAACTTGACCTGGAGAGATGACCCTACAAGTTGGTAATGGTGCAATAGTGCAGCACTTGCACGTAGGCGATTTCATCGCTATCTTACCAAATGGTAACGTTTTGATTTATAAGCTGCTATTTTTGTACCAGACTATGAGTGTAATATAATACTCGTATCTTTATTAGATAAAAGATGGATATATAATGTTCAAGTTGTGAGAACATGATGTTTGAAATATCATATTTAATCAAAAGTTGATTGCGTTATGGAATTGTGTAATGGCATCATATTTCTATATTCAAAACACATTCTGAATATCATCAACTATAAAGAAGAACACTCATGTTGTGAAGAGCTTTCTATGGCATTGTAGACTTGGGTCTATATTAATAAAGAAAGACTTGCGAGCTACATAAAGCATGGAATTTAGATCATTTGACTTGAGTCTTATGATAACTGCAAGTCTTGTCTTAAAAAGGTAAAATGAAACTAAGATCCATTTAGGGGAACTGGACAAGAGTTACAGAACTCTAGGGACTGTATAGACATATGTATGTATGTGTCCTATGTCTCACAATGGCCAGAAGGTGGCTTACTCTACTTTATTACTTCTTTACTGATGATTTTTCAGATTTGACATGTGGTTTTTGATGAAAGCACAAGTCTGAAGCATTTGAGAAATTTATCGAGTATAAAAGAAGTAGAGAATCAAACCAAGCAAGAAATTAAATTCTTTCGATCGGATCGACGGAGGAGATATACTGAGCCGGAATCTTCAGGGTTTTTAAAGAGAATGGATTCTCTCTCAGATTACTCCAACCTTTACATCACATTAAGCGGCGTGTCAGAAAGGAGAATCGTACCCTATTAGATATGGTACGTTCATGAGAGCTAACGCTGAGTTACCTTTTTCATTCTGGGGGTATTCGTTGAAAGCAACACACTTACTGAATAGGTTCCAACTACAGCAGTCCTAAACCTCCATATGAGATATGAGTGGAAGAAACCACTCTTAATTATAATTTAAGATTTGGGGATGTCATCTTATGTAAATAGACAAGATCCCAAAAAGTTAGAGGCCACGCTCGGTTTATGCAAATTTGTAGGATTTATCAAGCAGAAATTCTATCTGGATATCAATTCTACCACATCGATGAAAAAGATAATTGTTTCTCGCATGCCACTTCTTTAAGAAGAATTTCTTGAAAAAGTAAATTAGTGGAGCATGGGTAGAACTGGAAGAAATTTCAGATATACAAATCAATACTGATAAATTAGTTAAGAACCAGGAAAATTCAGTGTACCAGAAGAACCACAACCAACTCCTAGATATCGAAGGCGATCTCAGTGCACCTAAGAGGAATATGATTTTCTCATTTGAAGTTGGCATGTTAATCACGTCATATAGAGAGAGAACTCTTTGAGTTATCAGCTAAGCCTTTCAGAGTAGGGACTCTTTTCTCTTTGGGATATTGCGTTGGACAAGAATGCCCAATGAATTCCGAAATAGACTCTATGTATCACCAACAAACGTATGGATCTTAGCACAATGCCTCCTAAAGGGGTGATACCTATAGTTGCAATGGTTGTTTAAGAAAAAAGGTTGGGTGTAGATGGGAAGTAAAACTTTTAAAGCTAGACTGGTAGCATCCCCAAAGTTTTCTGTCAAAGACCTGTTGTGGACTACGATGAAAACCTTTTTCTCCAGTGACGTATGCTAAACGTCTATTCGGATTCCTACTTGCTATAGACTCTCACTATGATACAGATCTGGCCAAATGGATTCAAAACTGTATTTCTCAAATGGTGATTTAGAAGAGTGCATATATATAGAGCAACCAGAGGGTTTGTAGTCGATGGGAGCGAGTGTAAAAGATGTAGATGCTTAAATCCAGTTATGGACATGACAGCAAGCATCGAGGGAGATGAGAACATCTTGTTTGAATGATGCTATCAAAGAGTTTGGTTTCATCAAAATCCAATGACATGTGTTTATAAAAGGATAATGGGAGTATAATATCGTTTCTTATTTTGTATGTAGATCGATATAACTCTAATCGGTATTGACAATACCGTCCATTACAGAGCGGGTTAAAATTGGCTATCAAAAAAGATTTTCCATGAAAATTTGGGCTGAAGCATCCTTGTATACTGGTATCAGATTCTATAAGATAGATCTAAAGGATTTTAGGATTGTCCCAATCTAGATACATTGCGAAAGTCGCTTAAAGCGGTTTAGATGAAAATCCAAGAAGTTTGTACCTGGCATCTCCTGGATATCTCGCTCTCTAAAAAGATTTCCCCAGACTGATGAAGAGAGGAAAGCAGAGTCTAATTCTTATGCCTCGCCAGTAGGATCGATCATGTATGCCATGTTATGTACTAGACTCGGATATCGCTTATTCACAGTGCATTTGGTAAGCTAGTACCAATCTATCATCATGGAGAGTAGCACTGGAGAAAGCGGTAAAAATATTACTTTAAGTACCGAAAAGGACTAAAGATTATTTTTGATATTGTGAAAAAAGTGACCTCCAAATGGAGGCTTTTTCCGCTCTAGCTTTCAAGAAAGCGATATAGTGATAGTAATACTGTTTCAGGGATATGTTTTACGCTGAACATTAAGGGCTGTTAGTTGGAAAAGGGGTTCAAGACAGCCGCAACACCACGTACCCCCCACACTTCTCTCATGGAAAAGCGAATAACTTGCCGGCAACAATGATATGCAGCCAAAAAGCCTGGTCTGGAATGTAGGACAGTTTCTTCAAGCAGCTGGAATTGTTCCACGCATTAAAGATCTCAGATACCTTAACTGTGATGAAGTTATTATTCCTATTATAGCTCTGACAAAGGAACCCCGGTCTCACATAAGTCAGACACATTCTGAGAGGTATCACTTGATAGGAGATAGTATGATCGCGCCGGAGATAAAGATTGAAAGAGTTGACACAAACAAAAACTACATCCGCACGCCCTCCGATTACAAAGGCAGATTGGCTCGTGACACATTTGAAAAACTTGTTGCTATTGGGTATGTAGATACTACCAGATGGATTGGCCTAGTGCAAGTGGAGTTTTGTTGATATAGGTGCCCTGCAGGCAGTGAATTGTATTGTAACAGGACCTAGTATTAATATAATATCTTGTTCAAAATATAGTATGCTATTTTGGTCAGTATTATCTGGTTAGTTTTATATACAGATAAGTCCTTAGAATGATACTAGACTATCAGACATTACGGATATGATCGTAATGAAGGAGATCTGATTGTCTGTAACGTATATTCTAAAATATTCCTAGTCCGATAAGAAGTGTGTTGGGACATGATCCCTTTTGGTAAGACTAGTTAATTACTTATTTCTTCCTTTGGCAGGATGTGATCCATCTTTAGAGCATCTGATGTGAGAATCCAGATAATAATCAGGTGACTCATTAGTGAGATGATTGACTGAACGACTCACTGAGAACATCTAGTGGTAATCTATACTACTGTCAATAGAAAGTTCTCCGTGATATAGTAATTAGTAGTCTCATTGACCTGAGGCATGAGTGCAATATCTTAACATGTCAGTATAAGTGTACTTAACTTTTACCTAACACAGTTCTCATCAGTGTGCATAACGGTTTCTTGTTGGGTACATCCCGAGGCAATAAGTAATATTGAGATGCCAAGATGGGATTCGTCTCTCCCAGTATAGGGGGTGATGTCATAAGTTGTTGATATAACTATACTGAAAATCCTTGGCCAAGGTAAATAAGATAAACTGATTGCAGTATTGATCTTATAGTTTATCGAGGTTTAATATCAACCGGTCAAACACTAATTGAGCAGTTAGGGTTTGACAGTTATTCATACCTAGGCTTAATAGTTTGACTTGTTTGACGAAGAGACCGCATTGGACTGTAACGCATTATACTGGAGTGGTGCCTGATGAGTAGGAGGTGGTGTGTTAGCAATCTTGCAGACATTTATCACAACTTTATATCCATACCCGGGTAGTCTTTCATGGTGTGAGGCTAGCACCTTCTGTTGTCTTGTGATATGATCCACTTGCCGAGTTCTTAAGTTGGCCCTAGAGTCATCACCAAGCGCGTAATTGAATCCTATAACACAATTTATAGAGTGATGCGTACTGATTTATACATATATGCCCATTCTTATCGGAGGTAGCGGGCATAAACATTATTTAATTGATAAACGAATGGGCATATGTGCTTAGGAATAAATTCTTAGTATTCTTTCGCTATAAAGTTAACTTTTAGTCAACTAGTGATTTTTGGTCAACAGTTGGACTTTTGGTCACATCATTGAGGTACTTTTGGTCATCATGATGACTTATTAATTCAATGATTGTGAAAAATTACAAATATGTCATTATGAAATACAAGTATTGATTTGTATTACTTCATTTATGAAATACACATACCATGTATTAAAATGAGTCATGAGATGTCATTTCGTGGTATGGTTTGAGCACTATGTTTATTAGCACATGGTTTTGAAAATGTAATGATTCATGCGATGATTAATTGCATGATCACTAGATTAATCATTGATATTTTGATGATTCTTGTCACGCTCTAGGATGAGTCATTCATGTCATGAACACATTTCACTCTAATAATATGAGCTCATCTTTCTTATTGAAAGTAATGACAAATTGGCTAAGTGGTTTTTCCATAGAGAATAAAAAAAGAGAGTCCCTCTTACTAATTTCTAGCAATCTTGATTAAGAGAAAGTAGTAGGATATTTAAAGCTACCCCGGGTGGATATTCTTGCCTTGTGTCTCAAGAAATCCGATTTTATCAAGCTAACACATTAAGACTTGGAGATCCACTACGAGGAGAGTTTACTACTACAGAGGAGCAAGAAGCTGTAAGCGGTTTGTTCGATTCTTTCCCCGCATCGGAACTCAGCGGCTTCAAAAGTATGGACTTTATAACTTGTATGTCTCCTTAATATAGGTGAATTATGTTAGGTTTAAATTAGAATGGTCGCTATAATTATTTCATGCTTCTACATGCATAGCATAATTATACATATAGTCTTTCGTTGCGTATTTTGCATGTATGAAGCATGGATTCCCTTCATCTGCTACCACTCAAAAAATAATGGGGACCTCATAGTGCTCTTTCCCCCATTTTCTTGGTTCAAGATCTTCATGTTCGAACTGTATATGATGAATACCAGATCAATCTTCACTAAATTGACAGTATCTTTGAAATGTAGCCAGCTAACTGCCCATCTAAAGACTAAATAATCACAAACACATTAATATCCTAAAGGCGCCATTTTTCAACTCCTTATCCCAACAAGATTTCAGTTCGTCTCTTTCAAGCCATTAATTTAAACCTAAGAATTCCTGTAAACCCTAAACCTAGAACATAAAATATAAAAAGGAAAAGAAAAGAAACGTAAATAGATGAAGAAAGTTACCTGATGAACATTCGCCTCTATCGAGAAGCCCATCGCTAGGCCCACACGAGAGCCGAGCCGGTCCCGCGCTGTTAGATGGTCTCTCGCGGATGCACGAATCCGGGATGAACGCGGCGGCCGCCGCCACCGGGATTATCGCCTCTGTGGATGTCCATTCTGGATTTAGTGAAGCCCTAGTTTTTGACGTCGAGATTGGGCGCAAAGAGAGGGAGGTTTAAAACAAGAGGGAAGAGGACGATGATCCGTTTGGTTAGTTTCGAAAATGAAAACGTTACATGGATAAATCAATAAAATATTATTTTCATCTATTTTCATCTCTAAAACCCATCACAACATTCAATAAAATATTATTTTTATCCCATAACTCATCTCATATCATCTCCTAATGGTCTGTTTGTTTGCTAAAAAAATGAGAAAACACCCGCCACATCACCTTTCAAGAAATCTCTTATGTGCCACATAGGATTTTGGTTTCAAGGATTTTCCATTTCTTCAGTTTGTTTCATTTTGTAATTTAGGGGTTGTTCGTTTCGCAAAAAAGAATGGGAAATCAAAGAATAGGAAACATATTTCCTAAAATAATTGTTTTGAGGTTGTTTGGTTGGTTTAAAAAAGAAGGAAATTATAAAATAGGAGATGAGATGAGATGAGTTGTCACCTTATTATTAGATTATGTGAGTGATTTTTTAAAAAAAATTGTTTTGAGGTTGTTTGGTTGGTTAAAAAGATAAGGAAATGAATTGGTGGTATATTATTGGATGATGTTTTGAGGTTGTTTGTGTTTGGTTCGTTTTTAAAAATAAGAAAATAGTGGTGGTATATTATTGGATGATGTTTTGAGGTTGTTTGTGTTTGGTTCGTTTTTAAAAATAAGAAAATATATGAGATGAGATGAGATGAGTTGGAGGTATATTATTGGATGATGTGACACATACTTAAAGAAATCAATTTCTTTTTTTTTTTTGAGGAAATGGATGGAAAGGAAGGTTTGATGAGATGAGATGAGTTGTCACAATATTATTGGATGATGTGTGTGATTTTTAAAAATGAGATAAGATGAGATGTGATGAGTTGGATGATGTGACATATTTCTTATGTTTGGTTTATTTTTAAAGATAAGAAAAGAGATGAAATGAGATGAGTTGGATGATAAAAATAATATTTTATTGGATGTTATGGGTGAGTTTTAGGGATGGAAATGGATAAAAATATTATTTTAATGATTTCCTTGTACCGATTTCCTTTTCTTTGATTTTAGGAAACCAACCAAACGGTTAAAGAAATGAAACGCCACATAGGATGCCACATCAGCTTTTTAAGAAATGTGTTTTCACAACAAAAACCTCTAAAAACACTTGGAAATATCACTTCAATGAATTATTTATTACTAAAAGCACTGTTAGAATAGTAAACCTGAATAAAACAGATTATTTAAATGGGCTGATTTCTCTTTCCTTTGCTTTTTGTTCAAACAAACACAAGACTGAATAAAACAGATTATTTAAATGGGCTGATTTCTCTTTCCTTTGCTTTTTGTTCAAACAAACACAAGAAATAGAAATGTGGTGCACTGTTACTACAAACACAAGAAATAGAAATGTGGTGCACTGTTACTATTGCGGCTTTTTTGTCTGTTTGTGTGACTTGACGGTGAAATGAGGTGATTTCTTTGCCAAACAAACACAAAAAAAGAAATGTGGGAAAACTCTTGAAATGGGTTGAAATCAAATAAAATTTGATATTTCCATTTCCGATTTTTTTCGGAAAACAACCAAACAGCCCCTAAACTATCCTTTTGACTTATGTGATGTGTTTAGGTTCCTTAACCCAACTTCTCATGTAAAAAAATTCTTTTTAGTTGTCACCTCAGCAGAAAGAGAAAAAAACATCTTTTTATCCCCAAACTATCCTTACTATCAACCTTTCAACTCTATTTTTTTTTCTCGTGAACGATGAAAAAAATTCTTCTTCTCTTTCTCCTCAACTATTATCTCTTTCACCGTCACCTCTGATATTGCATCATTCTTTTCTTTCTTCTTCTCCTGCTCAACTCTTTTTTTTCGCTACTATGGTATCTCCTTTGTCATTTTTATTCTTTTCTCAGTCATCTCTCCTCCTCCTCCTGCAATCTTTGCATCATCACTCAAAGACTATTTCTTTTGTCTTAGGACAGTCATCTCCTAAAGTCACTCCGAAATTGATACATAATAGTGGAGGATAACAACTAAACTTTACAACTAATGTCTAATATTAAAAGTTAACCTGTGACGTCTAATTTAACTTGAGACGGGTGAAGTTAATAACTAATAAAGTAGCATGTGACGTCTAAAGTTAACATGTGATAATACATCTAACAGTTTAAAGTTCTTATATTAATCTCTAAAGTTAGATGTTAAATCTAGATCTCACTTGTTACCCTTAGACCCTGCATGTTAATTTTAATCCTTAGATATTTATTTTAGACCTCATATGTTTAGTTTAATTATTTGATGTTAAAGCTTAGATGTCACCTTTGATTGTTAAGTATTAGTTTCGGCGTGATGTTAGGAGATTACTGTTTTTAGCCACACAAAAAAAAGATAATCTTTAAATAATGCAGTGGCAACTATGAAAATGACTGAAGATGAGATGAAGATGTAGATGGAAATGGAGGAGAGAGAATGGTGAAAGTTGAATTGAAGAGGAGGGAGAGAGGGGGAAAAGGAGGAAATGAGAGTTAAGATGGAGCATATAAGAGGAAGGAGAAGGGTGAATGGATAAGGAAGGAGGGGCCGTGGGAGGAGGAAAGATGACAATGATAGGAAAGATGAGAGAGGAGAATGAACATGGGTGAAAGGGAGAGGAGGAGGAAGGAGGATGGAATGAGTGCGAGGTGGGATGGAGGAGAAGGGAGGCCGGTGGAGGCCGGTAAGACAAGAAGTGTGGAGAATGTAGGATATAGAGTGAATCAAAAGAAATAGAGTAGAAGAGGAAGAAGATAATGGGTATTTTGGGGATGAGAGACAAATATAAGTTTATGAAGGTTTTTTCACATGAGAAGTTGGATCAAGAGGCCTAACCACATGACCCAAATTCAAGGAGACCGAGTCACATAAAAGTTCTAATTTTGGGGCCTAAACACAATTTGTCCTAAGATTTTTTATTTATATTTTCTTTTCTAACCCCCCAAGAAGAAATATATGCAAAGGAAATCGCGCACTTCACTGTCAATTCCTAAAGTTAAAAGTAATATTAATTTTTACATATAATAAGATTCGTTATTGTTGTTGTTGTTGTTATTATTGAAGATAGGCCGAAGCCTAAATTTCACTGAATAAAGAAAATTTATCTACAAGATGAAAATGTGATTATTTATTTATTTATTTTAGGTAAATTGATTCATTATTTGATGATTGCATTTCTGGTTTAGCTTATTATTACATGTCAATAAGGGGTTGTTTGTTTGCATAAGGGGAAGGAGAAAGCCTGTCAAAAGTGTCAGTTTTGACAGGCTTTCTTACAAAAACGTTTTTTTAGAGACGATTTTACAAGAAAGTCTGTTAAAACTGACACTTTTAACATGCTTTCAATCCATTTCCCCCCTCTAAAGAAGCAACAAAACGCGCCCTAAATTTATTGATCTACATTGATTATAATAAACCCAATAGTTTATTACTATATTACTGTTTTTCCTTATTTACACTAATTTTTATTAATTTGACTGATTTTATATACCCATTGATCGACAGCGCCCACTCTCTCCAGAAACACTAGAAACATGCCGGAGCTCCCTGAGGTTGAAGCAGCAAGAAGAGCAATCCAAGAAAACTGCATCAACAAAAGGATCAGAACCTCCACAATCGCCGACGACCCCAAAGTCATCGGCGGCGTCTCTCCGTCGGAGTTCCAGTCCTCCATCAACGGCAAAACCATCGTCGCCGCTCACCGCAAGGGCAAGAATCTATGGCTCCAACTCGACTCCCCTCCCTTCCCCTCCTTCCAATTTGGTCGGCGAAACCCTAACTCGATCCTCACCGCTTGTCAAAATCGCATCTTTTGCTGACCCATGTTGTTTGATTTGTGGGTGCAGGGATGACTGGTGCTGTTTATATTAAGGGGGTTGCTGTTGCAAAGTATAAGAGGTGAGAATTTTGTGTGTTTTGATTGTTTGGAGAAGGAGATGTTGGGGGGTTTTAGGGTTTTGGTGTGATGGTTTTGGGTTTGTATGTAGGTCGGCAGTGAGCGACGAGGAGGAATGGCCTTCAAAGTACTCCAAATTTTTCATAGTGGTGAGTTTGTTTTGTAATTTGGTTTTGTAGGGATATTTTGTTATTTGTGATGGCAATGCTGGCACTACTATATTGTCTTATTTTTCTAAGTTAAAACTTTGAATAGTGGGCTGTTTCTTATAGTTGGAGCCTTTAATTTACTAGCGTGTTAAGATTGACTATATTTTCTTTTTCTTCAGTGTGTAAATGTTAAGATTGACTAATTAGTAAGCCATATGAATGTTCTGTATGTGCATATTTCATGATCATTCATAGATCTTGCAAGCCAGACACTAGATGCATTGTTGGTTGAGTGAAAAATGTTTTGTGATGCATTTAAAATCTCTCTTAAAAACTAAGAAAAGGTTTGGTCGTTGGAAACAATCAAACTACTGAAGGAAGGAGTATAGAAGATTAACCACAAGAGGGTATACCACAAGTATACCAGGTTATCTCTGTTAAAGAGTGCAAAGTTTCTCTCTTAGTTGAGCTATATGTATTCTGTTGGCATGGAAATGCATTCCATTTTAGAACCTTCAGCTTATAATTGGTGAAAGTTTTTAATTGCTTTCGGGACTGCTGCAGATATTTCTGGTTAATTCGAGAAGCAACTTATTATTCTTTGTATGAAGCTCCTTTGTCATCATGTTATTTTAATATTTGCATTCTACCTTTTTATGACTACTTTCCATCTCGTGCAGCTTGAAGATGGTTTAGAGTTATCTTTCACTGATAAAAGGCGCTTTGCAAAAGTTCGCTTACTTCAAGATGTATTGTCCATTGCCCTCATATTTCCATCTTTCCTATAGATTTTTACATCTTTAGCGTCATTATAACTCTTCACCAATTTGTTGGTGCAGCCAACTTCTGTACCTCCAATATCCGAGCTTGGTCCGGATGCATTGTTAGAGCCTATGAAAGTGGAGGAATTTGTAGATTCTTTGAGCAAAAAGAAAATTGCAATTAAGGCTCTACTACTCGATCAGGTTGGATATTTTTTTTTTCCACAGAATCTCTCTTATGTAAGTGCAAGTAATTGTTGAATTAGCAATTCTAGAACCACAATGGTTAATGATACATTAGGTGGGTGTGCTGCATTTTGTCTCTCCTTTGTGTGATGCTACTCACCCATTCACAAGAAAATCCATTTATATGCGATGGTGATATTAATTTCCTTATTTTATTCAAAATATGTGTTTGGCCTTTGTACATCAGATACTGACTTCTGGAATAATCTTTATTCCAGGGTTATATTTCAGGCATTGGCAACTGGGTTGCAGATGAAGTGCTTTATCAGGTTATTCTACATTGGATTTTCTAAATTATATGTTTCATTATAAATTGCATTTTCACTTTAATAAATAGGTATATCTGTAATAATTGCAAAGAATAGCCAACCGACCTATAAACTGCTATTTTAATCCTGCACTAGATACCTAGGAGTTTTTTTTGTAAAATTTATCTTGCAGAACTCCTTCAAACCCTCCATAGTTAAAGTGTCTTAGTATTGCTGGCTTGACCTGAAAGACAGGATAGATCGATTTTATGACCAAGTATTTGGTTAATTCACTTAGTTTTCTATCTAATTAAGTCACTTTGTTCTGTGAGTGATTGATAACTATAGACCTCTGACTAAATGATGGATCTATTTTCTGAGTTCCTTTTTTTTTCAGGCCAGAATTCATCCCCTGCAAGTTGCTGCAACTTTGTCGAAGGAGAGCTGTGAAACTTTACATTGCTGCATCAAAGAGGTAATACACTTACAAGGTTTCCCCCTCTTTTTCCTATTATAATTAAGGACCAATTTTTTGGTGAATGCTTCTTCTACGTCGAATTAAACATAGATAAAAGACACAATTTGTAGGTTGTCAATTATGCCGTTGAAGTTGATGCTGACTCCAATTCTTTTCCAATTGAATGGTTGTTTCATTTTCGATGGGGGAAAAAGTCAGGAAAAGTTAATGGTAAGTTTCTCAATGTATATGACTGTCTTGACCATAAGTCATTTATTCTACAGGTTATTGAAAAAGCTGTGGAAGTTGGAGCAGATAGTAGTCAATATCCTAGTGATTGGATATTTCATTCCCGCGAAAAGAAACCTGGAAAAGCATTTGTGGATGGTTTGGTTCTTCCATTACTGTAGCTGGCTCTTATTAGTTCAATGACTCAATACTATTATGATTTTAATTCTTTGAAGAGATCTTTTTCCTTGCAAAGATGCTACTTTACTGTCAATCAGCTTTAGAGTGGTTGCATTAAATACCCGATCATTCCCATAGCAAAGTAGTGATCTTGCATTATATCAGAATCTATAAACATTTTGTTTGCATTTTGCGGAAGTCTATCCTTTCATGATTTTAGTTTTATGATCCTTTAAACATTTTGTTTGGTTGGGTAATCACGTAAAGTCATTGCAGATAGTTTAGATATAAGCTATAGCTTCTAGTTAAGCAAGTGTAAAATCAGCTATCATGCATTATAGCAAAGATATTTACCCCTGTGGTGGAGTGATACTCTCCCATGTAAAGCAAAAAAACTTCAGCCAACATGAGCTAATATCATACATTTATACTTATTAGTCCTTTTTTTTTTGACAGAAAAACAAGGGATGATCCCCTTTCATTAATAATTAAAAGAGTGTAAAGTTGATATACTTATTAGTCTCAGTAAATGCTTCTAAAGTTGGTGCATTTAAAAGCTGATATTAAGGGTATATCGTGTTCAGACTGGAAAGTAATAAAAATGAGCTTAAGAGGATATTATCAGTTTGCACTTTGAGAAAAATTCCTGCCAACTTGACATCAGTTGTTAACTATAACATCTAGATCCTCCTCTTATTATTAATAACTGCTACCTGAACAGTTGCATCTAGGCTCTGGGTCAGCTACAAATATTCTTTGTGATATCATCTCATGTTTTCTTGGCAGGAAAGAAAGTCGACTTCATCACTGCAGGCGGAAGAGTAAGTTCTTCCACATCGAAAGTTGTACTCTTTAGGGACACAGACATATTTTCAAGGTATTCATTACCTATTATACCTGTTGCTTCAGACTTCAGCCTATGTACCAGAGTTGCAGAAGTTGAGTGGAGCACAAACTGAAAAGAAAGGCCGCCAGGGTAAACCTAGAAAGGAAGAATCAGATGAAGAACCAGAACCTGAGGATGAAGAGAATGGAAGCTCAAAGTCCAGGAAAAGCAAGAAAGCTGCAGGAGGTAGCAAGAAGCAAAAGAAGAAAGTCCGCCAGGACGACAGTGATGATGATGATAGCAATAGCGACGAAGATGAAAAGCCCCAGAAGTCAGCAAAGAGATCAACAAGGAAACAACCTGGAAAGCAAAAGAAAAAAGCAAGGAGGTAGAGAGAGTATGACTAAGCTTCAGGGTAGGAAGCTAGGCCAGTGTATTTTCTTCTTCATGTAGTGCCCTTTTGGTACTATGCAAGCCCCCATGCTTTTGAGAAGATCTCATGAAGATCTAATTTTGTAACTATTTGCGGAGCAGCTGAACGTCTCTTAAGAAGCAACTCGTCTACAATTAAAACATGGTTTCATCAGGAAAATGACTTGATATTTGCTGTTCCAATCACTTGGTTAAACATTAATTATTATATTTCTTGAACCGCACAAGTAGTTCAATATAAAAGATAAAAAAGTAATAGTGAGAATTTTTTCCTACAAGCTGCTGCAGATCAAAAGTTCACGAGATTCGCAGGAACCATGGAAATTTGCTCAAGAACACTGCATTCAGTCCCAACTCTGGTAACTCGAGGGCAACGCTGCTGAAGCGCAATACTCAGAATCTGCCACTCATCTCACAGGCGATTGAAAATTTACCATAACTTTCTTCTTCAAGATAACACAAAATCCAACAAATGCACAAGATGCATTGTTAAAAATTTCCCTCCGTAACTTTCCTCTCCCTACTAAGAGGGTCACAGAGCATATATCCAGCAGAACCACTAATTTTTAACTAGCATAATACACCATATGCAGAATGAATCTGAACCAGTGGACTGAAATTAACGAGCACAAAATTGCTTGTAAGATTATTGCTTGACACCATAAATCCAACCACATGCTTACTTGCAAACTGAACTCAACATTTTATAACCAACACAAGGTATTAGAGAAGTGCCACCAAACCAAAGACATAACTCAAGTGCTAGGAAGTCTCTACCTTCCATCACAAACATAAAAGGCGCAGAGCACACTCAAACTTAACTTGGTATGTAAACTGATATTGCCATCTTTCTAAGACAAAGAAGCATTATTTAACTACCTATTTTAGGATGTAGTACCACCAACGAGCAGGCTATTTTGTCCCTGGAATCGTACTAGGCAGTGGACTTCAGTTCTTCCTCCTCAGCCAAGCGAGCCGATAATGGCAGCAGATGAAGTAAACCACATCCTTTGAACTTCAGTTCTTCCTCCTCAGCCAAGCGAGCCGATAATGGCAGCAGATGAAGTAAACCACATCCTTTGAACAGTAGGACTAAATCATTCCCGAACTTAATATAACTTCAGGAAGTAGCATAAGGTAGGAACTTGTCGTAGATTCTCCACTATGATTAAACCGCTGAACCAACCATCCAAATGGGGGTATCCCTAGCTTGAGGTTTACCACCACGATCACTGACCGGTTGATCTTGTAATCCCTCAAAGCATCTAGGGAGGCTCGGCACACCCTAGAAAGGAGAGAAAAATATGACTACTCACTTGAAAATAAGCAAAGATTTGTCATTCAAAATAATCAGAGTATGTACAATTTCTCGGCATAAGTTTAACAAAACAACATCAAACAACTGATTTTTGATTTACTACAAGACATGAATTTTTCATGCATTAATGCAAATTCATGATGGATAAATATCTCAAATAATGAAAATCTGTGTTCACATAGTTAGAATTAAACTTGTCATGGATCTGTTTCTTGCATTCATGAAAGACATCTCTAACTATAAAATCTGATCCATCACTACAATAAATAATAAATATAAAATGGCAGCACATAATATTAAAATAAAATAATAGGCTAAATACATCCGAGCACGGAAACCAGAACATAGACATCCACAATACATCCAGAGACAGCATGAGTAGAAAAGAGGACTAGTGAAAATGAAATTCAGTGTTTAGAACAAAGAACCAAAGTTGCCTGCAGCATGAGTAGAAAAGAGGACTAGTGAAAATGAAATTCAGTGTTTAGAACAAAGAACCAAAGTTGCCTGAGTAGATGCAATTCTTCAAAATGCTTGAAAATGAAATTCAGTGTTTAGAACAAAGAACCAAAGTTGCCTGAGTAGATGCAATTCTTCAAAATGCTTGAGAGTTGAAGGCCACTTAGGCATGATATAACTAAACACCATATAAACTCAACAAACTCAAACAAACAGGCAAACAGGTCAATAGGTCATGGCATACATTAGGACAAAGAGTAGAAATAAAAGAAGATGAAGACATGATATGCACCAAATATGAAGCAGCTGAGCCTTCATATTATAGCATAAGATTAAACTGAAGGGTGCATTATGTCTCGTTTCAATTTAAACATAATTTTCAATAAGAAGGCATAGCATAAAGCATGAATCAATGAACAAAAACCATCCAATATATCAAAACAGGTTAAACACCAGGAAAAAATGACATTGATTATCTTACTACTGCAAAGTAGTGCAGAAGAAAGTGGGGGTTCAAAACCTCTCTCTCAGATTGATGAATAAATCAAGAATGGAATATCCAATATCCGAGGTTGTGTTACAGGTTGCAGTGTAATTCAAATGCATTGATTATAGGAAATGTTTTTGAAAACACGGTGAAGTAAAGCATTGAAACACTAGAAAGAATGGAGACCACACTTCTTTACTGAGGAACATTCACCAACAATAAATGAAATATTAAAAGCTGGATATATACTAGGCAACCTTTCGTCCCTCTTCCTCCCCCTTTCTCCTGGGGAAAACATACTAGGGACCCTTCCTGCCCTTCAATTAACATGCATGCGTAAATGTGTAAAACAAGAGATGATGAGAGTTTACCAGTTACAAGGTCAAGAACCTGCAAATGCTTCCAAGACAGTCCACTCTCCAAACAGAAATTTAACGACACTGCAAGGACCGAAAAGATGGTACGGAAGTCGATAGCACCTGGCTTCAGACCACTATCTGCAAACCTTGAACGCAAAAGACAGGCCAATATTTAGTAATTTAATGACGTGGTAGTATGTCAAAGCATAACGTGGAATTCCAAGAGACCAAAGTAAGCGCTGGAACTTACCAGTTATCGTCTTAATGAAGATGTGAAGGATTTCACACAAAGTAACCAGACCAGAGAGAATGTGCTTGATGCTGCTCCGGCATCATAGAAGGCTTAAAGCTAGCTTGCTGAAGTTGCCATTCTGAGGTAGGCTTGAGATGGTCGTAAAGGGGGAAATCTTGCCACGTATCATTCACCACTTGGGTTTGCATGGTGGAAACTTGCTTTCCAGGGAAAGGGAAGCTCGTCACACCATTCAACTTAGCAGTAGGATGCTGATACATATGTGTGACATGATTAACTGACCTTTCCATCTCCGAAGCTTTTGTAGGAGAATGATAACCATCTAACCAGCTGTAGTCATCGACATATGGATTCTGTCCATTGATCGCTGTTTCCGAGTTCGAGTCATCCAGAGGCTTAGGGGTGTTGCTAAATCCAGGAGGAGGACCCAAGTGCCTAACAGGTCTACTCACGGGAGTTTTCTTTGATGTAGTCTGCGATATTCCTGGGTGGTTCATAGATGCGGTGTCAAAAGTCATCCCTGAAGGCATTAAGGAATGCAGGGTAGATGGTATAAAAGCTTCAGCGGCTTTTGACTGTTCACAAGACCTACTGCTAATGGGATCAATTGCTGAATTCAAAGGTGAGAATGCAAATGCTGGAGCTTGCAAAGAGATCAAGCCTTCTTGGGACCCATGATTGGCTACATGCCCATTCTCATTGATTTTAAATTTCTTTAAACCGTTTGACAAAAGTGCTGCTTGTTCCATTAGCCATTTTGAGGTGTTCAGATTCATGTGCGGTAAAGGTTGCTGGGAGAAATTTACAGCAGCAGCATCAAATGGTGAACTTGTATGCAAGCCGGTAGGCATCTGAAGATTGCTGACAGGAGAGGGAAGTTGTGTACCATAATTTTCCCATTCACCTTTTGAAGAAGTTTGCGTAGGCTGAATGGTTTCATAAGCAGTTGGCATGGAAGTGGTAGCCCATTCTCCTGCAGAAATTTGCTCAGGCTGAATTGTCCCATAAGTAGTTGACATGGAAGTGGAAACAATTACACCAGGATACTTCTCCCCTACAGTAGGCTTGAAGACAATTTCTTCTTCATCTTCATCCTCTCCATCTAGCTGTGTCTTGGGTTTTGTCATCCCATACTTGAGAACATTCTCAACTGGACTTGCTTGTTTAGTGGCCTCCACCTTAGATGCATCCGACAACTCACTAGACATGTAATCATCCAATACTGGAGGCTCTATACCAATTACAAATCTCCTAAGGCAAGGATCAAAAAATATAGCCTTTTGATCAATCCGCACTACATTCATAAGAGCCTTGCCTGCGGCGAGAATCCGCTGTACACGGGCTTGTTTCTCCTTCTCACTTCCAACACTTCCATAAGAATGCTTACTTGAAAAATCCAGAATCAGTTGTGCTGGCACTAGGGGTAAAAATCCTCTCAATTCAAAATCTTCCAATAATGCAGTCCTATTACCAGTTTCTCCTTCATCATACTGAGTCATATCAAAAAAGCAAGTTTCATCCTCGTTCGCAGCTCCAGCAATAAGCCCATTGGATACAAGTTTATTCATAAAGGCTACGCATTGATTCCAGAAGAATGATCTCGCAGCAGCTTGTTTTTCCTCGATGTCAGAGCCTGCGGCAATGGCTGGATGGCATGCCAACCACTCAATGAAAACTAAAATGGCTGGTAGAAGAAAGCTTGATGCAGTATCATCTAACTGCACACATCTCTTAATAATATGTCCAGAAAACTCAAAAACAGCTGTGAATGCATTCTGAAGAAGCACTGTGCGCTGCAGGATCTCAGCATATGACTGGCCATCTGATTCCCTAATCGCATTATGGACTGTGAATATAAGCGTCGCAATGAGCCTCACAATAAAACGTGCATTTTCAGTAGCATCTTGACCGAAATTTAACTCCTCTTCAGGTCCAGAAGACATAAGATCAAGTAGATCGCTTTTTACCGCAGAGAGAATTTCTCCAAAAGTTTCCAAGCTGTTGAGTTTCACATATAAAGGTTAGTACTCAAGATGATATATGACTGGAGGAAGATTCCCCCTTACAAAAGAACTTGGCTATGGAAGCATAGCACTATATCCAAAAATGTTACCAAAGTGACGCAGCGCGGAAGTAAAACCTCGGAATCCACCAAGGGTGTTCTCTGAATCCACAAAGAACAATCTCCGAATCCACGAAGAACTTCGAATCGACGAAGAAAATATTGAAAGAGTAATTTTATTGATAAAAAGATATTATTTTTCTTTGGGATTATATGTCTCTTCTTAAATAGAAAAACAAATAAGACTCCTAGTAAGACTAGAATTACAAAAAAATAAAATGTATCAAATTCTATCCTAAAAAGACTTCCTATAATAAATGAAATAAATCATGAATCAAAATTGAATTTGTTTCCTAATCTAATTTGACTCTAAAATTAAATTTATTTCCTAATCTAAATAGACTCCAACTTTATTACTAAAAATAAACTAAAGGCTGATTATTTTTAGATTTCAGTCAAAACTGGGTGTAACTGATGAGATTTTAAAAATCTGACAATCTAGTTGGCTTCGTCTCGTCGAGATAGGCGATTTACATATATAATATGTTAGAATCCACCATCTGGGTTGGAAGATATGATCATTTCTTTGCGGAGGACAATAATACGTATAAATCTATATTTAGCTCGTGATTGTCTGCATCCCCCACGAAATTGTCAGTTAAGCGTCATACATCGGTCTCCCATTGTTGAAAGAAGCTCGACCTCGAGCTTATATTTGCTTGAATAGTAACTTCATCGATAAATATCTTTCTTAACCTGCATCGATCAGCATCCGTCTTGTACTTAGCATTGATTTTCTCCATTTGTTCTTTTACGTTCTTGGCTAGGACTTCTTCTGAATCAAATTCATATATTGTTCTTTCCGACATTATGTGTATTTTATTGGCGGCATGTGGATGTGCAGTTGACTTCAAAAACTCCACAAAATATGTTCCATATTGCTTCTCGTATTCTAGTGCTTAAAGTATCATCAAATTCTTTTTAAAATTATTCACCAACTTTGCTTCTAGGAAAGAAAATCTTGCGTTATACTCCATACACAATTCTTTCATCTCATTTGCCTCTAGCCCTCCACCAAGTAATTCACGCATATCATCAATTGTCTCACTCTCTAATTTATCCTTCTCCTCCATCGGGACAATATCAATGTGTAACATCACTCACAATATCATGTAGAATATTCATCTTCATTAACATATCATCATCAACATCAGGAACCTCAAAATGAATCTTGATGGTGGTAAAATCTTCCTTTCCGGGGGTAAGCGTCTTGTTTGTCACTAGAGAAGTATTCTCCTTAGCAATCTCTGTCTTAAATGCTTTCGGTTCTAGGAATAACATAATTAATGAAGTCTTTATCGGTTCTTCCTCGGTGCTCTTCACAAATCCAGACTCTTTCTCAGAGATGAATTGAGGGGTTCTTCCTCGGTGCTCTTCACAAATCCAGACTCTTTCTCAGAGATGAATTGAGGTTTCTTAATTTTCCCATAATCATAACTAGTTTGATAACTCTCTAATTGAGGTTTCTTAATTTTCCCATAATCATAACTAGTTTGATAACTCTCTAAAAACATCCATGATAAAAGTCGTATGTCGTTCTGCTCAAGTTCTCGCTCCACCTTTTTCGTTAGACGGACAGTAACGGCTAAGGTAAAAAAAATCTTTTAAAGACACCTAACATTGCTTGTAGTTAGAAGGTAAGAAACAGTCTCTCAATGATTTCTTCATCTTTTCCCACCTTTCGACCTTCGGCTTTCCTTAACGAGATCGATTCAGACAAACAGATTCCCACCAAGCTGAAGTTCCACCTTTGAGTCGGTAAGCCACCAATTTTACCTTACGCTCTTCTGGGATCTCCATATACTCAAAGAATCTCTCTACTTCTGCAATCCAGTCGAGGAATTCTTCAATATGAAGTTGCCCGTTGAAAGATGGCAGATCCATCTTCATCTTGAAACCTCCAGCGTTATAATTTTTCATTCGTCGACGGTCTCTGCGGTAAACACTGCGGCGGGAGGCTGCATAGTTATCTTCCTCGCTGTCGGATTCATCATATGGAGTCGGTGGAGTCGGATCACGTCGTTGGCGACCATCAATACGATTTTGAACTCCCGCCGTGTTCAGACGCTCAACTGCCGCCGCAAGTCGCTCCATGACAGTCTTCATCTGATTAACATCGGCCTTTAGCACGTCAAACTCGGTTCGAGAAATAGGGGCTTCATTACCTGCCATCGGATCGGAGGAACAAGGCTCTAATACCAATTGACGCAGCGCGGAAGTAAAACCTCGGAATCCACCAAATGTGTTCTCTGAATCCACAAAGAACGATCTCCGAATCCACGAAGAACTTCAAATCCACGAAAGAAATATTGAAAGAGTAATTTTATTGATGAAAAGATATTATTTTTCTTTGGGGTTACATGTCTCTTCTTAAATAGAAAAACAAATAAGACTCCTAGTAAGACTAGAATTACAAAAACATAGAAAGTATCAAATTCTATCCTAAAAAGACTTCCTATAATAAAGGAAACAAATCATGAATCAAAATTGAATTTGTTTCCTAATCTAATTTGACTCTAAAATTGAATTTATTTCCTAATCTAAATAGACTCAAACTTTATTACTAAAAATAAACTAAAGGCTGACTATTTTTAGATTTAAGCCAAAACTAGGTGTAACTGATGAGATTTTAAAAATCGGACAATCTAGTTAGCTTCATCTCGTCGAGATAGGCAATTTACATATATAATATGTTAGAATTCGCCATCTGGGTTGGAAGATATGATCATTTATTTGCAGAGGTCAATAATACGTATAAATCTGTATTTAGCTCGTAATTGTCTGCATCCCCCATGAAATTGTCAGTTAAGCGTCCTATATCACAAAAAAAAATAGCCAATATTTGCAGATAATGTCAACAGGAAGAACATCCTGTTTCATCATTGAATAGGCCATATCCCGATGCAAGCAGGATTGGAACCCCATATCTCTCGACCATTAAGAACAGGCTTGATCAGTAAGCTATAGTGGCACTGCACCATCTTACTAGTGCGGTGCCAAACACAAAGGTGAGGCTATTATAAGCAGAAGAGTAGCTCACCATAATACCCTGAAGACCAATCACAAAGTCCAAACTCATACACTAAAAGGCAACCAGAAGTATTCACAGCTGGGAATGCATTATGTAAAGACCAAAATACTTCTTGTTCCCAAATTTTCATTTTAATGTGAACCATTTTAAACTCACAAAGTTCAAAGCTGCCCACCTTTTCTATCAAAAAATGGTTCTTTAGTTTTAATCTAAATATATATTAAATGGACGGTATAGGATATTTGAACACTCTTTTTTTCATTCAGAAATATAAAACCTTTAAAAAAAACTAGATATTTCTGAAAGAAGTTAAGTACTAAAAAGTTATATATGTTTCAAAAATCTATAGATATTTAATGTGAACTATTTTAAACTCACAAAGTTCAAAGTTACCCACCCCTTCCATAAAAAAAGGGCTCTTTAGTTTTAATTTAAATACTGTATTAAATTGGACAGTATAGGATATTTGAACAGACTCTAGTTTTTGTTTCTTTTCATTCAGAAATATAAAACCTTTAAAAAATCTAGATACTTCTGAAAGAAGTACTAAAAAGTTATATATGTTTCCAAATTCTATAGATATTTGAAAAATCCACATATGGTTGGATAATTATATAGTCGGCTGAAAATGCTACAATGTCCCTAAAGATAGTATGTTTGACATCCGTCATATTTGTTGACTAGAAGACAATTATGAGTCAGCTGCCTGATTGTGGGTCCCTGCTCCCTGGTGATTACAAGTCTTCGCTGGACTGAGAATGTTTCACGCTTTTATTCTCGCTAAAAAAAAGCAGTATTAACATGAATATAAGCCAAAATTTTAGCCAAATGATTTCGTAAAATTACCTTGTGCGAGTGAAAAGAATTCCGTTAACTCGTACAAAACGAGTGGTGAAAGCCTTCAAAACTTCAGAGATGCTCAAATCATGTTCTTTCACAGGAGTTGCTTCTGGTTTGGAATTTTTTGACAACAGCCTACTAGCATCCCCCCTGCCTCTTCCTCTCCCAGCGGTTTGTAAAGCCGTTCTCTTTACTGCCAGAGCTTTGGGATTAACAGGTAGCTGAGAAAAGCTTTGACGATTCTGTAGAATGCAGATAAAACAATTGATGAAATTTGAGACAGAATTTACTAGAGTACTAATCTGACACCCCACCCAAAAGAATCAAGAAATTCACAGCACACGCATAAGCAGAGAACCTATAGACACATACAAGTACTTTTTGAATAACCTATCATCTCGAATGCCTATAACATCAGAGACAAGAACATCCAGCAGTTAAATTGATTCTTCAATTTTATAATATCAGACATCAGACAGAACAACAATTCATAAATAGAACACACCTTAAGATAGAGAATATTGATGGAAAAAGAAACTTACAAGAGCATTGATGCAGACAGTGTTGTGTTGCAGAACATTAGATGCACTTTCATGATTTTTTTTCCCTTATTGATGACACAACTGTTATTTTCCACAATGTATTCTCTTTTGCCCCCATATATTTTTCAAGGCTGAAGCCCCCATATAGGCAACTGGTGTAGATAGAATATGAAGGTAAAAACACCACTACAATTAAGACCCTATCAGAAACATTTAAACTTCAAATGAGATGCTTTGAATGAAATTAAAATTTACCCGCTAATATGATAATCTATTGATTAGCACAATATATAAAAGAACTGTGAGAAGAATCTGCAAGATCAAAAAGAAGCTCCCATTACAGGTTTGCTAGAAGAAAAATAACGCCAAAGACTTGAATTACTTAACCAGCAGGAGGTTCTTAATCCCAAGCGAGATAATTCCCTATTTAAAACAAATCTACTGGGACAGTCAAACCTTGCAACCATTTCATTGTGAAGGTCAATGTCTATAATACATCTCACCTTTTTTTAACACAAAAACCTACCCATTATCATGACATCCAACTCATTGAAACATTTTCCTATGTCCATCTGTAATCTATATAACTACATGCATCAACAGCAGGTCTCCTATCTTTTTGACAAAATCCAGGCTTCCAAATTAGGAAGCATCATCCATGAGTATGAGGTTCTAACAGGCAAACCATAGTACTTGATCAGATATATAATGAATGCCCTACATTCTTCAAATATATTTTCACATTTACAAAATTTACCCTTTTTTATGTATTTTCTTTATCTTTCTGTATGCAAATATATAAATTGAACTATTAAAGCATTGTTCTCCAACGGAAATCATCAAATTTCATTCTGTCCAATCAATTATTCTTTTATGTCCATTTATTTACCAAAGAAGTTATATACCTGTAATGCAAGCATGTTATAGAAATAATAATGATTGCCAATCAAGGATCATAATAGGGTGCAACACCACTCCCTTTTACCTTAGTGATCTCAAACATACCTTAATTACAAATCTAATCCTAAGAGTTGATGCCTACATCTATAATATTCAATACATTACCCGAGACACAAAAACAAGCATAATAACACGACTATGTTATAAGATTTAATATGACTATCACGTTCATAAAAGCGTCACGTATTTGGTTATTCTCATATAAGCAACAATTCAACCACTAAAAAATTTGTAACATTCCCATGAATCGGAAAGAAAACTGTAAATTTACATGTTAGGTACTGCTTTGATTCCTTGAACGGTTGAACCATTGATACCAATCAGATGCAACTATAAATGATTAGACTGGATAGTTACTCTAAAATAAATATTCACACAGGGTTTATAAGATTCCTAAATATTTTATGCTAATACAACAGATAATAATAGAGAGTAAACTCCAGTTACTGCACATCCAATGTTATAAGTTATATAGGAAAATAATCTTAAACTTATAAAGAAGAACCCCAGCATACACAAGCAAAATACAAAAAGAGCTAGTGACATCCTTGTGTTTGTTGTGAGTAAAGGAAGCAATACCTTCTCAAATGCAATAATCAAATTGTCCCTTGCTGTTGAGAAAGGAATATCTGCTGCTAGACTCCGAAAATAGCGGTATATTGACAACAAATCATCACCAGCATAGGATGCCAATATTGCAAGCTGATAAATAAAGATAATCATATAAAAATGCGACATAAAGGTTCATTATAGCCATATAACAACACAGAATTAACACAAATTTAGTACCTGATGGTGTGGATTGCCACTTGATGGGCAAAGGCCAGCTGCTTGCTTATAGTAACAGGATGCTGCAGCATATTCGCGAGTAACAGAGTCCCCCTCTCCACATAATCCTTTGTAACGAGCAAGGTCACCCAGGTATATTAGAGATCGGTGACAAGACATGAGTCCTTTTTTCATAACAGCTGATTTCTTTTCATCTTTTGATATGGTAATTTGGCTTACAGGGCCATCAGAAAAGAAACCTACGGGCAAACCAAACTTAGATCTGATTTTTAGAATCAGATCATGATAAAATCCAGTTGACTCTGAAAGAAAGGTTTTAAAGCCAGAACGGATTTTCTTAATGGAATCAGGGCGAGGAGGAGCTTTTCCCCCTTGGGTCGTAACTGATCCAGCAGATTTGGCAGCATTGAGGAGTGCACGGAATTCTTCGATTCTCCTGTAGTGCAATTGCCAAAGGGCCAACTCAATATTGTGCTTTTCAGAAAAGCCATGATCTTCAAGGATTATGGCCTCATAATTCTCACGAATCTGAAACCATATATTCGGGTCTGACGGAGCTCTAGACTTGGCAAACTTCCGAAGACCGCTCTCCAGTTCGATATTCTGAGGAAACAATGAATTATATATGGCATAGATAGACAGTATAAACAGATGAAAAAAGATCATTCATATATACTGTCTTGGGGACAAAACAGAATAAAATTGACATACATGTCATCATAGTGGTACAACATACGATGAGCTCCACAGTAAAAAATAAAATAAAATAGAAATCAGATACTACAATATACATATGGGCAAAGCATCTGTATAGAACAGTTTACTGGTGATCATCAAATTACAGGGAAATGATTCATTGAACATGAGATAAACGTAGTAACAGACGCAATAATTAGTCAATTATAGAGAATGACATGAAGAGTACCTTCTTGTAGAGACGTTCTGCGAGCTCCCGCGAAGAGGGAGCTGATACTTTATCCATTGGAGCAATCATCATCCATCAAACGTGCTGCTACAATTCAAAAACTAACAAATTCAATATGCTTATTGAATCTCCTAACAGAAAAAACCCACAAATTATCTTGAATCTAACATATGCAACTAGTAACACCCAAAAAGATGCATAAAATTAAAGAATTGATTAGAAAATAGCCGAAAATATCACAAATTTACTTAACAACCCTAATTCTCACCACTCCTTTCCCAAAAACCCTAACCTAATCCAAGAAAAACAACCTGAAATTGATCTAACCAAACGAAAACACGACCCAAATCGACAAGAAACCCAAGAATTCACAAGAGTCAACGGATCTCGACGGAACCAATCGGGAAAAATATCAGGTCAACGGATTGATTGCAGCGAAAGAGGAATCGAGGGTACCTGATGTCGAGGAGAGAGAATTGAAGAGGTCGTCGCTTCTTCTTCTTCGTTGGAGAGAGAGAGAGAGAGAGAGAGGATTTTTCTTTTCTTGGATTTTCTTTTTCTTTTTCCCCCCTCTATGTATCTAATTATTTGCCGTCGAATTTGGGGCGGTGAGACTAAAGGCCGTCCTTTGATGTAATTCTCCTCTCAATTTAGCGTATTTTTTAAGCGAAGCAATTTTGATATTTTTACCCTTAAAAATTGAATTATTTTGCATGCCAGTCCCTAGGAAGTTCATATTTATCCAAGGATATGCAGTGAAAACTTTTTTAAGTCATGTTTCATTTGTATATATTGCGATATATCTAACTTTTTTGTAATAAAAGATCAACATATTCTTCACAATTTACTTGTGATCCATATTATGTGTAGTTCCCTTAGCAAGAATTTTTTTAGAGTTCGTATAGAATTTGAGTGAGGATTTTCTTCTCTTGAAGATATTTTCCAATTTCTTAAACATAAATGTGAGCCATGTGTTATTATTGTTACTTAAACATTTTGTTTTCTATTTCAATCCATGAAGTTATGCAAATTATTCCGTATAAAAAATAAGATAATTTTTAGAGACAAAATTAAGATTTAAATGATTTAGGGAAATTACTTCAAACAATTGACCCCTCTTGTTCCACACTAAAAGATTGTTAATAAAAGGTAAAAAGTTCGCAAGTAGTGTTACTTATAGAAGCGTAAGAACATAAGGGGCTGTTTGTTTCTTTGCATATTGCAACTTTGCTTTAAAAATAAGGGACCTGTCAGACCAAAATCTTAAATTTCAACTAAATACCTTGTTTGAGTAGTCTTTTTTATCATAAAATTGGAGTTGCCACGTAGGATTATTGCATCAATTCTAATTCCCTAAAAATATGCTGATTTCACTCTAAATTTTCATAAGCTTTATCTAAAGAGATAAAAATATTGATATTATAACATATTATCCTCAATAAATTCATGTTCTACCAAACAGGAATGTTTTACTTGGATTTGTCATTCCTCATATTCTCTTCAATATGCTTGCAAACATATAAGATTATGAATGTGGATTTTTTTACATCTGTGACTATTATAGCTTATAAATAACTAAGTGTTAATCTTTATTCGGAGACCGACATGTGTCCCGCTCCACTCCTAATGAGACGTATTTAGTGACGGACGACTGGAGCTACTCCTGCGGTCGATCCAATAGACCGCAACCTGTGTAGCCGACTAAAAAGACAGCGTTTGTCGGCCTACTCACCAGATCGATGCTACAGGCACTCGCACTCGGCCTGCCATTCCAGCCGACAACTTGCGTAGCCAACTAGAAAGACGGTGTTTGTCGGTCTTCAGCCAAACGACTAGAGAGACATTGTGTTCTCGAACCTTCCGCCGACAACAAACTACCCTCGCTTTAAATATGTTGTCAGAGTCATCATTGCTCCAACCCCCATAGTATTTATGGCCCATCGGACATGATCAGCACTAAGCCCCTGCTGTTGCGCTCACATTAAACGTCAAGATGATTCACCTTCTTCAGTGGCCAATACATGTAAGGTACTTGCCGATTTAGCTACCCCTCTAACTCAGCCAGTTACCTATCTGCCCTTCCGATCTACTATAAAAGGAAGCTGTACAGCCTAATGCAACTTCTTCTGCTCCCACGCAACTCTGAACTTTTTATCCCCACTTATTTCTTATTTTCCCACTCAAGTTCAAACACTGACTTGATCGTCGGAAGAACACCCGAAGGCCCCAGCTCCGGCCTTTCACGAGCTTTTCATGTGCACGAGAGAATGTCGGGCTCCAGAACCGACTATCTAAAAGGAGTTTGAGAACCCTAACACCACTATAATTCACAGATAAACCCCATGTTCGATAACTGACATCAACAGTAACATGCTTCAATAATAATCCATAAACCAAACAGCCCCTAAGAGAAAAGGTAAGTTATATTAATCATTATTTAATAACAAGATTTTACAAAGACTTCTTTGCAAAATAGTTTGAAATCATCCTATGTAAGGAGAGTTTTTTTTTTTTTTTTTTTTTGCTTTTCTGCTTATTTTTGTGAGAAGCGGTCAATAATAACAGTGTTTGATGAATTTTTATTTTCATTTCATGTTTATTAAAATTGCTTTTGTTTTTAAGGGATGCTTGAAGCAAAACCTTAGGATGTTTTTAAAAACCGCTTCTCTTTTCTTAAGTGTATGTATCGACATGACATTTACCCTTCAACAATGATCTTTAACCAAGATTTGTCAAATGCCTCAACTACTTTTTGGAAGCATATTTTGATATATGATTGACAAACGCCTAATTTAAATAATGATGTTTCTATAAGCTGCTTACATAAACAACTTAGCAATACCAAATTGGCCTTAAGTCCCATCATAATCCGGTTCCAAGGGATAATGAATTGGATCTGAAAAGTGATTCTTTATTAAAGATGCAAAGGATATGAATATTATTTATGGATCGAGATTGATATTTATATCCCATCCCATATGTAGTGAATTAATGAAGACATGAAAATTAAATTCCTACATCAGATCAGATATGGATACATATGCATCTATCTTTTAAATTCTTTGACAACCATATTTGTATTTATCTTAAGTTAGTGAATCTAAAATTGATTTTCATGACACAGAGATTAGGTTTAAGTTTGTTAATCTGTTGAAAGCATTGGCAATACGTTAGAGAAATTTTATTTTATTCCACATCTTGTATCACACTGCACGTATTCTTTTGAGTTGCATCAATTTCTCGTGTATTTGTTAGTATCAAGATCCATTTCTCCTTCTTCAATTAATCTCTATCTACATTAGATTTTGGTATACGAAAGCTTGTTTTTCTTGCTGAAGCATATGTACATTAATATCCATATCTTGGTCTGTAAACGAATATGAATATGATAAATATCATATCTAATATGTAGTTTGACACATCTAGATTTCTATTCTCTAACATTACAGAGAAATTTGAGAGATCCAAATACTTAACAGCCACAAAATTCATGTAGCTCTCACCAAATTAAAATCACCAGGGAAAAACTTTAAACAAAAAATATTTACTCACTACTTCATCCACAGTACAAGCCCAGCTAATTATAACTAATTAATTCCCTTCGTAATCAATAACCATAACAATAACCAAAATAAGACTCCAACCATAATTAAAGGAAGAAAACTAAGCCAACAAGCAAGCATCGGTGCAGGCTTCACATCCTCTCATGTTTCATCGATCACTCATCATCTAGTATCATATACATGATATGCATCCCCAAATGAACCCATCTTCTTCAAGATAATCAAATGGTCTCAGCTAATTTCATCTGAAAATTAACAAACAAATTATAACACAAAATTTTAGTTAAGAGAATGTACGTACATTCACTATGTATTAAATGATCATGATCCTTACCTCATCAAATTAATGGTGCAAGTAAACCCCGGGGGTGGAGTATTCCCACAAGGTAAGCAACAACTGGAGAGCAAGAGGCAAGTAAATATTAATATCAAGCAACGTACTCGAGCATAATATATACTAGTGCGCAAGCACACTGCAGCCTCAATCTCAACCAGCCCTTTAAGCAAAGGGCAGCACTTGTTGACCCCAGGGTCACCGAGCCCAGAAGTGAGAAAAGTTTTATTATCTCGTTATTAAATATTAAATTATAATCCTAAAGTTAACTTTAGAGTTTTGGTTCAATGACAGAAACTTTCGATGGTATTAGAGCAGCCCAGGTTCAATTTCCAACAGCCACGCATTTATAGTGAATTTTAAAAGAAAACTGATGCCAAGTGAGTTTAAGTTTTGGCCAGTAAAAAGCAGAGTACCCAAACTGCGGGGCATGTAAGTAGATAACGGCATGTAAGTAGATAACATTATGCCTCGTAAAGTAGGGGAAATAGATCACAAGCAAGCAAGAATACAATAAACAGGGAGGGAGAGATACCAAGATAAAACACAAAGGGTGGCACTAGGGGCACACCCCTAACCACAACCTCAACCACATCATCTCTCTCATTTGTTACAGTGCACCGGGCCCCATATGAGATTTTAAAATTTTAAAATCCAATATGAGGCCCGGTACACTGTAGCAATAAGAGAGGGGATGTGGTTGAGGTTGTGGTTGGGAGTAGCAAATGAGAAAGGGGGTGTGGTTTAGGTTGTGGTTGGAGGTGTGCCCCTATCATTTTCCAAACACAAACATCTAGAACAGGAAACACGTACGTGGGAAATTTTGTATTCGAACCTCCAATCTCACTGTCATGTCACTTGAAAGATATCTTGGACCCGTGACTGACTTGCATGTGTTCCTTCCTATCGGCATAAAATTGCTAGCTTTCATCAGAGAATAGGAAACAAACCAGAATAATAATGAAATTAAATTAAGCCTTTACATTAACTTCCCTAAATGAATGAAACTATCAAATACAGAGTTGATATCAGCTGCTCACTGTCACGTCACTTGAAAGATATCTCACGTGTGGCTAAGCTAAGCCACGGATTAAACACCCCACAACCAATATATATATTGTTCATCATAAAGAGGTACTAATATTATATACCATACTAAAGTATTTGATACGGAGTACATACTCATCAATGGTTTTGAGAATATGCTCTGTGCTCAGATAAAAGAGGCAGATAGTCATATTCCTCAGAAGATTACATACAAAAACTTCACTTCAACATTAAACTTCACAAATCGACGGCCATGAACGACTGCTAATAGGAAAAGAGATTTGCATCATCAACCTGATAGCGTCTCTGTATTCAACAAACAAGCTAAAGGATGCTTTGAAGGGAAGGCTTCGCATCAGCCTTACCAAAGGAATGCAATTATAGAGCCTTTCTAAACTATGATCATTTTGCTCTTCTTGGTTCTGAACTACATCTTCAATAAAAATTGTGGGCTTGTTGCAGATCAAACACCATGCCAAGCCACGGATTCCTAATTACGAAGAAATAACTAAAATTGAACTTAATCTACGACCGTTCTTTGTTATATCGTACAGATAAATCTAGAATCATCGTGGATAAAGCTACAAACTCACTAGGGGCAAGAATCACAGACCAAATACAGAGTTGATATCAGCTGCTCGCTCTTATATCACTTGAAAGATATCTCACGTGGTTAAATTGCTTCAACTTGGAAAGAGCTTCTTGTGTTTTCTCTCGTAAAAGATCAATATATACTGCCATAAGCAATGCTTTCGGGTGCTTAGGAAGCAAAGACAGAGCTTCAGAAGCAAAAGTGCTAGCCCTTTCAGTATCCCCTTGCACTGCGAACATTGCTGAGAAATTAATGAAAGTAACTCCACGAGCCTCTTCAGGCTTCAAGAATGAGTCCTGAGACTCATCTCTCATAGTTTTGGGAGGCAAATAATTCTTCGAATCTTCAAAATCACCAGCCACTCTCTTTTTGCTCCACTTCTCTCTATCCTCTTTCTTGTAAGGCAATTCAACATTACCACTGCCTTTGAGGGAGACTGATAAATGTTCTGCTGCTTCTTTAGATCGGTTCAGCCAACAGAGTGCTTCTGCGGCATATATGTGACTAAGAAAGAAATAAGTTTCGGAACAATGTGGGAGCTCTAGGAGCGATTTTGAATAAGAAAGAGCTTTCAAAGGGTTTTCTAAGCATAGTTCAACATATGCTAAGGCTCCAAGAACTGCTTGCTTAATCACATACTTCTCTTCTCTCTGCATGTCTTCATATGTTGCGGTAGAACTTTGCAAGGTGGAGTTTGAGTCCAAAGTTCCATTGTTTCCTTTAGAATCTCTATTCAAATGTGCTTTTGACTCTTCAGTTGTGGTCTTGTGATTGGAATTCTTGCCTGATTTCACCTGGTCAGGCTCCTCGTTCAAGGGAGTTACTGAAGCACCATATTTGATTATTTTCTCCTCGTTCTTATTCAACAATAGCAGCGCATTTTGAAGACAATAACGTGCGAATGGAAGCGAGAGCTTGCAGACATCACCCTTCTCTGTTTTATAATACCCATTTCTTGAGTTCAAGTCATCAACAACTAATTGTCTCCATCTGCCTGAACCAGCAACATGAACTCTTATTATATCTTCCCTGCTTGGTCTCAAAAGCCCCTTTTCAAAAGCCAAAAGGCAACATTCCGCAAGACGGAGCCACAAAAAGGTGGGCTGTTGGAGTGGTGTGTCTGAGAAAACCAGACTGGCTTTACCGAAACATCGAGCTGCAACCAAGGGTTTTCCACAAGCCAAGTTCTGGATGCCACAGTTGTATATGATGTGAAGCGATCTACCCTGCGAAAATGTAGAGAGCTTTAGAGGCTTCTCTGAACTAAGTGACAAGCTGGCTTTCAATGCCTTCGAAAAGAAAAGGCCTGAAGTATGGTGGCTCCTTAGCTGATAGTGAATGCAGCCAAGGTTGTTATTGAAGACAATGAGGACTCCTGGTTCTGTCCCATTACTGGATGTCATCAGAAGTTTAACAGCCTTCCGATGATTGCCATGGGCATATTCTAGCTGAGACTTCAAAAGCAACTCTGTCGATGAATCTCTACCTCTTGCCATGTTCATAGCAAGCTTAACTTCTCGCTTTGCAGCCTTTAAGTTCCTACTGAGAAGAAACAGCCGGACCTTGTAAAGATGCATTTTGAGTTTCAGTTCTATAGCAGGAGCAGCTCGATCGGCTGATGCCTTTGACGGCCTGCCCAAGTTCTGACTACTACCATCTAATGTCGAATACAAACTCTCAAACTCTAGGGCATCATCTGATAGTGCTCCTGACAAAGAGTTCTCATTGACATTGGAACTTGAGTCAGAACTTGAGGCATCTGGCAAGGAGGAATTGCTCATTGTTGATGTTGTACCTCCCGGATTCGGAGATTGCTGTTGAGTTGTATTTCCGTTATCACAATGGTTTGCCATGCAACCAACACCAAAACATTTTTCCAGGTACTGAATGACATCCTGAGAGAACAAAACAATGAGATATTACTGCAGAGTAGAGAACAAACTCGCAAAGTAAAAGAACACCAAATTATATGTCAAACGATGACAATAAAACAAAGAGCTCAAACCCATAAATTGTTGAGCAGAGAGGATTTATTGCGTCCATTCAGAGTTCACATCATAAACAGCAAAAGATAGTAACAACATGATCATGGCTCCAGAGTAGAAATACATATTGATCCCTGATGCAACAATGTGAATCAGGGAAAGGCAACCACTCGAAGTACAGAAAATAACAGCAATTCGTTCATTCATGAGACAGTGAAGAATCAAGATGTGTTCTCCACCAGATATACTTTAGAAACATTAAAGCTGCTGTCAGTCTAATGCAAATTCTTAATCCACCACCACCATTGCCGTAGAGGTCTCTCAATTCCTTGATCATGGCCTCTCAACTCCTTGATCATCTCCAAAAGCTGCATTTGCATTCCATATTCTACTTTTGCATTTGATATCACGATCAGCAACGGAACTATATGATGTAATGGGTTGGAAAACTATCAAGTAAAAAGGAAACTTCTACAATAAGCATTTGATATTAAGCATGCTGAGAAAATGTTAAATTCATGCATTGATAGTAACTAGTTTATAAGAAATGACAACTTATGAAGGATGCGTGTGTTACTCCAATACCGTATAGTGCCCTCATGATATCTTCCAGATAATCTAAACATCTATTATAGAAAAAGAGGCATACTGCACTAAAAAGATGAACTTACTGCAGCTCTGGGTGCATCATGGGAAGCTAATGCAATATCCAGTAAGAGAAGGCAGACATGAAGTGCTATTGTCTGAATGAACAATGTAATACATGAGAGAAAAACAGTGTTAAAGAGCTTTTACCAGAAAAATAAATAAAAAGGATTTGAACATATTACCTCATCTATGGGATCTATATTTTGATACAAAGGTTCCAAAATCGAGAATGCACGTGCATACTCATGTAGATGATAAAGTATGATTGCCTGCAGAACAACACATTAATTAACGTAGATGTCAAGACTTAAATGACTTAAAGTTTCCTTCAACACGAGGCAGATATGTTTAAAGAATGGCATAGCATACAGTGTTCAATGTAATGATAGAGGTGTCAAACTCATCTGCACGTGCAACACTGCTGGTATCTGCAGCAGACAACTGATATAGGTTGTTACCATTCCCTTTGGATACAGAGACGTTATTAAGATTGCCAATACTGTCCACCTGCTTACCCAACGAATGAGCAAGTTCTTCGCTTCTCTTCTACATTACAGTGGGAATCAACAACATATTTAGACTTTTTAACAAGAACAAAAGACAGTGAATAACAGCACTAATCGAATGATGAAATATGAATATTCACAAAATGACATGACAAAAAATCAACCAACTAGAGACTGTAGGATCTTCGTGCATCATGGAAGTTAGCATTAACATTAACAAAGTGTAAGGCAACATGATCCACCCATACTAGTTGATTCTTTGACACAGAGAAGAATCAATAGATTGAAATCTGCAGTGTACAACGTCACATAAAAATATATTTGCACTAGGAGATACATTTAGGCATAAAAATACAGATATACTATCAGTTTCATACAAACGAATAGATTTCTCCAACAAGAGAAGTCCTGACTCCTGAAAGTATAAAGTACACTCAGGTGGAAGTATGATGTGACAGCAATTTTGAAAGGCTTCTAAACATGTATATACAAGACGGTGAATTCTATTACGCAGGATTGTATGATTGTACCAGTGCAAATGTCCTATAGTTTAAGTGACAAGCATCTGTAGGGTAACTCAATGCTCTGAAATGACTGTTACATGCCTGATCAAGCCAAGGCATCCTACAAAGTAGCAAGCACTATTATGAGCAACTTAATGGAATCTCGAGAAGAAAGCTCCATGAGAGATTGTATAAGCTCATACAGTTTGATATGCTTCAGAAAGGTTACTTGAGCAGAAAGTACTAGTCAAGTTAAATTCAAAAGGGCCCTAGATCCTACTGACAACCTGTGAACCTGAGGTTGAACCTTTCAATTACAAAAGACAATAACAAATCTTTACACCATTCCCATGTACAACCACTGCCTGAAATTTCAAATAGTAGTTTAAAAAAAAAGAGTAAATGGAAATACATCTGAAGAGTTCAAAACATTTGGTAAAATCTGGCAGATGCCATTAAATAAAAAGTAGTTTGGAAATTTCTATAAAAAAATAACATAAATCTATGTGTATGTATATCCACAGACCACAGGTACTATTATCAAGGGTAAACAATTACATCTTCATAGAATTAAAATTTTATAAACAATATTTGTCTTAACAGAGGTCACAAAATATGGTTGTCTCCACTCATTACGAGTGTGATAACAAACGCAATCAGTGCCTAGGAAACAATGCCACAAGGCCTACAGCATCCATGAGGTCGCACTATATCAGTATTACCCACACAATTTTCTTAATTATTCACTGGAATCTAAAATGTGACCATAACCGACTGGCAATATTAATATTTAATATGGACATACCAAATATTTGGGGGACCCAGTCCCTCCCTCCAACCCTTGTAAAATGCATGCTTACAGCCTTACACCTCATTGTGACATTCAAAATTTGTCAAGATGGACATAGTCTAACTTGTTCCTGTAACAAAAGGACCTTCTGTCTCAATAATTGAATTATCCACAGATTCTCATAGAGTTTATACTTCCTACTGGAGGAACATATATGTTATCAAACATATTCTGAGATATCAGATAACAAATTAACAAAGTTGAGTTGCTAAAGTTAAGTAAAAATTATATCTGACATGGATGGGTTCGGACATGATGACATCAATTGGGATCATTACGATTTTGTGGTCAAGACGTGATAATCAAGAACTGAATGATATTTCAGGTCCAGCCCACATAACTTCCACTTGCTAGAATCTGGCTTGCCTAGGCTAGATTGGCCTAGAGTAAATACCAATCAAGGGCAAAATACAAGAGACTTTATAAGCCTATTTGCACCTTCATAATTGTGATAGCATAAAATAAGAGTATTTAATGTTTAAATAATATTTTCTGCTAATAGTTAGCTTCTCAATTTTCTCATCCATTAAAATTTAATTTATACAAAGGATGCCAAGCTATCTCAAACATTACGTCAAAATCCTACAATATGAATCATTAATCAACAAAAATATCCTCAGGAAATGAACAAAGGTCTAAGAAACTATCAAATTCATAAACAATATTATGTTGATTGATAAACAAGTTCACCTTACCTTGACCTTATTAAGAACATGAAGAAGCTTCCTCGGATCAGAACAACCATCACGAAAATATTCAGCCACAGCAATGTTATGAAGAACCTGAACAAATACAACAGGTAATCAAACCTTAGCAGCCATCAAAGAAGTCTTTTGAAGTACCTAACAGAATCATATAACTTCATACAACCTCGATCGTGAGCATGTAGTCACCAAACAAGTTTTGATCAGCAAGTGAAGAAATACTGGACTTTACAGTGCAAATTTGATAATTTGATGTGACCATGAGTACCATTGCATGAAATTTTAGCTACTTAAATGATTAATGGAATTGTTATATATCAAGTTTAGTCAAACAAAGAATTTTGCACACTTCCCACAGACACTTGCAACAACATATTGAGCTAATGGCGGTTTCAGTCCTACCATATGAAAGTCAAAATATTATCACGTTTGAATAGAATTCTAAATGATGAGCTAACGGAAGGTATTGAAGTTCAATTTGGGTAAACTTTCGTGGGTTTTTTTTTTTTTTTGGCAATAAAAAACTTGATAATATGAAATTTAACATAAATGAAATTTTGGTATATTAATAATTAAAGAGCAAATAACTAGCCCTAAACACCAACCATAAAAAGCCTATGGTGAAATCCTAACACTAGTTAGGAGAGATCAACAAGTTACGCTCTTTCTGCTACATCCGGTTGCAGGTCAATCACCCAATCGAAAATCAACACCATTTACGAACAACAAGCCACAAATCAAAACCTCACTTTTGGATCCCCCTCCTTCTTCAACAGCAACTGATTCAAAACATCCACACACTCCGAGAACCTCCCAGAAGAGAACAACGCCCCCGCCTCCTTCGCCAGCCCACTCGTCACCGGCGAACTCCGACCATCCTCCGCCGTCGAATCCCGACTTTCCATCTTCATATCTGCTGGATCTTCAGGGTTTCGCCCTCCATGAGTTAGGGTTTTGGGTTAGGCTTTTGGGGAGCGAGAGAATTTGAGAATGGATCCAGAAATTGTAGAGAGAGAGAGAGGTAGGGATTTGATTTGTTTATATATAGGTTGAGAATTTTGAGAAGAGGGGATTTTGAGAGAGGAGAAAAGGGGAAGACGATAGAGAGGAGGCGAGTCTCCCTGATTTCTACTTCTTTTCCTTTTCTCCAGTTTTCTGGCAGATTAACGGGTCGGGTTATCGTCCGATATTTGCGGGGGACCCGGATTTGCTCTATGAGGGTGATGACGCTGGGCCTTGATGGGAATACATGGGCCAGGGATTTGAAAGTTCGCGATACTTTTTTTTCGTTTTTGTTTGTTGTTTTTTGTCTTTGTTTTTAGTTTTGTTTTTTCCCCCCTTTGAAATGGAGTTTTCGCAATAGTATTGTGATATCAAGAGTTAAGAGAGAGCATTCTATAAAAAAGAGTTAAGAGAGCGAGTATGAGAGAGAGATAATGAAGAAAAAGAATGAACATACTAGCACTAAGATTCCCATATTGTTATAGATCATTGAAAAAAATTTAATATTCAATGTTAAAACATGCAACGATAAATTAAAAGGTTTTATATAATAATACCCACTACGAATAATCTGAACAGTTAGGATATTTCAGTATGGCTCCGATTAGATTTCAAACTAGGTTATCAAAAAAAAGTTCTTATAATCTTTTAAAGTTAATGTTTAAAACACTATATTTTTTAAGACAAACATATAAACTAAATCATGTTTACTGACATGATTACTTCCTTCTTTATACTAAAAATAATGGTTATTAAAATATATATATATATATATATATATATATATGAGGAATATGGGTATGCTTGGTACCAAGCACAAAATTTGTGCTTGGTAGTGAGGTGGCATATTATCCTCTACTCATTCAAATGGGCATTAGCTGTTATAGGGTATGAAAGTTGTCAGATTGTAACTTTCACTGTAGAATGTGAAGACTGCTGAATAGAGTTTTCATCAGTTGTCGGAAGTGTCGTTGAATTGTAACTCTTCTCGATCTATGTGAAAAGTCCTCTATTTGCCGCTTTCGATTGTCGACCCGAAAGCTATTTGATTGTAGCTTTCGTTGTGGGAGCTTGACGGGAATCAACATCCATAGTGTTTTGAAGATGAATATTTGCCCACAACTCTCTACCAAGCAACTCACCAACTAGGTCCAACCTTTTATTTCTGAAACCATTGCACTGTTCATCAACATCTCTAACAGTTGCTAATATAATATTAGTCATGTTGTTGTCGCAACCATCAAGATCAATCATCTCAGAAGCGATTATAGGATTGCGAATACAGTGATTAGACAGCCATCTGATTGTGACTTCCATCGTAGGAGCTTGATAGGGATCAGCTATCCATTGTGATTTTTAGACAGCCTACATTAACCCAGACGAATTTTTCTCTCTCCTATCAAAAGTCCAACGTCCTTTCACTTCCCACTAGCTCTCTCTCTCTCTTCATCTTCTCGCCGTAGCTCTCTCTTCATGTGTTCTCACCTGGCTCTCATCTTCTCACAATAGCTCTCTCTCTCTCTCTCTCTCTCTCTCTCTCTCTCTCTCTCTCTCTCTCCAAAGTCACAACATTCTTTACAAGATAAAGACAAACAGAGGAAAGAAATCCGCTTCTTCAATAAGGGGTAAAACCATCTCTCTCTCTCTCTCCAAAGTCACAACATTCTTTACAAGATAAAGACAAACAGAGAAAAGAAACCCGCTTCTTCAATAAGGGGTAAAACCCTTCCATGTTCAAATATTTTATTTTTTTTGTTTTTTTTTTGTTTTGTTGACGAAAGGTTGATCTTTTGGTGGTCTTGTCGTGCTGAGTTACTGCTGTTGTACTATTATACTGCTAATGAAGTAAAATTAGATTCGCTGGAGTGAATCTGGATTCGCTCCAGTGAATCTGGATTCGCTCCAGTGAATCTGGATTCGCTGGAGTGAATTGAGAGCCATATATAGTTAATATTTATTTAGTTATTGTTCACAAGTTGGAGTTAATATTTATTTAATTGTTGTTCACAAGTTGGTGGTCTTGTTGTGCTATGTTGCTGCTGTTGTGTTGTTGTGCTGCTACTGAAGTGAAACTGAATACACTGGAGTGAATCTAGATTCACTCTAGTGAATCTAGATTCATTTGTTGTTTGTTGCTCCTGTTTTATGAAGAGATATGCCTATGAAACAATGAATACGAAAGGATAAAGTTTCTTTCGCATCAGTGACTATTTGAAGTGAAGTGAATCGAGATTCACTTCAGTGAATCTCGATTCACTCAATCTCTTCAGTGAATCTCGATTCATTGAAGTGAATCTCTTCACTACTTCAGTGAATCTCGATTCATTATAGTGAATCGAGATTCATCCATGAGAGACTTTGTTTGACAATATAATAATAAAATTTATTATCTAATCATTGAATATCCTGCTGATTTATTGTTAAAATGGACAGGATCGACAATTCAATCAGCTCAAGAAATTGAGTTATATCTACTATTACCAATATCTGACTGATCACATTAACCAATTGGCTGAAGAGAACACAATGAAAGCCCAGCAGTACCATGATGAATTTGTTAGTGTCAAACAAGGATCAAGAAAGGGTTCAAAATTGAGAAAAAATTGATGATTAGTTACTATATCTTTAAACAGTGTTACCAAATCTAAGTTTATCGTTAATTGTTGATTAATACAAAAGTTATTTTAGTTTGTATATTTATGGATTATCATGTTCAACTCTTATTCTAATATAACTAGTTGAATCTAAATTCATAACGATGAATCCCGATTCTATCGACAATTTATGAGTTATTTTGAATAATTGTAACCTCAACATGACGCTATCTTGTTTGTATCTTTACGGTGAAGTCAAATTTGTGATTCCAAATTATCCTCCGTTTTGCATGATAGAGGCATTTTTTGAATTATCGTCTCAATACGACGCTCGTACACAAAGTTATGGCCTTTCAAGGTTTCATAACTATCCAATACAATTTTTAAAATTTTTACCAAATCCGATACTGAAATGACTTGAGTTTACATATTAGCTGCCTAAATCTAAAAATAAACAAGAATCATTATATCAATGAACATAGAATCACCATTGATGAATCAAAAACTGAATTGAGATTTAATCTAGATTGAATATTATAATGTTACATCTGTACAGGTAAATTCAGATAGTGGGCAAACATAAATCAACTATTTTAGAGTTACAGATAAACAATATAAATTGATATTCAATAAAATTAATGTACAATGAATCTTAAGTGAAACAATGGATCTAATGGGATAGGTTCTCTTCATAGACTTCAGAAGACTTGCGTTTGCACGTGGATGACATGGATGAACGGAGATTCACTACAGTGAATCTCGATTCAATGATGTGAATCGAGATTCACTGAAGTAGATTCATTTTAGTGAATCGAGATTCATCTCATCGTATTCATTGTTCCAGTGTCTAGTTACATAGGTTTATCAACTCCCTGTAAAAAAAAAAACTAAATCTGTGATTTCCAATTTAATTCAAGAGTACGTAAAACATGACTTTTACTTAAACTAAATTTGTATTTAGTTCAGTGAACATCAATAACTTATATTGAAGCTAAAATATATGTTTGTATTTAGTTCAGTGAACATCGATTCACTTCACTTCAATTTTACCCTTTACAGCAAAATTTTAAATTGGATGCCCTTTACAGTAAAAGTTTTTGATTCAACAAGCTTCCTATCATCAAGCTATAAAATTTTAAACCATGAAAAGATTTTACCTTTTACAGCAAAAAGTTATGATTTTTATGGTAAAAAACAAACACCTCACATAACTGAATCTGGATTCATTTTTATGGTAAAAAACAAACACCTCACATAACTGAATCTGGATTCACTGTAGTGAATCTAGATTCACACATGCGTGTCTTCGTTTTTCAACTGGTTTCTTCAAAAAACAGGAAACTTTTCAGACTAAAAGGTGAAAATTTTCACTTATTACAACAAAAAGCTCTGCTCGTACACAAAATTATGGCCTATCATCAAGCTATAAAATTTTAAACCATGAAAAGATTTCACCTTTTACAGCAAAAAGTTACGCTTTTTATGGTAAAAAACAAACACCTCACATACTGCAGTGAATCTAGATTCACACATGCGTGTCTTCGTTTTTCAACTGGTTTTTTAACTGGTTTCTTCAAAAAATAGGAAACTTTTCAAAAAATAGGCAAATTTTCACCTTTTACAACAAAAAGCTACGATCTTTAAGGTTAAAACTAAAACTTTTAGACGAAAAATCCGATCTTTAAGGTTAAAACTAAAACTTTTAGACGAAAAATCAAACAAATTTTATAAACTTACCATTAAAACGTCAAAATAATTTAAAACTAAAACTTTTAGACGAAAAATCAAACAAATTTTATAAACTTACCATTAAAACGTCAAAATAATTTAATGATGACAAAGGTTGAAGACGGTGGTTAAAGATGAAGGTTGAAGACGAAGGTTCAAGAAGACCGTTGATAGAGATGCAGTTGAAGGCAAACGTATCATTAGATAGGTTGGGATGAGTTTTGGGGAGAGAGAGTTGCCGTGACTTTTTGGATAGGGAGATGTTGAAGAGAGAGAGAGAGTTGCTGTGATTTTGGAGAGAGAGATATGTTATGATTTTTGGAGAACTCAACAGACACATGCATTCATTACAGATGACTGTTAATTTTACATGATTACCCTTATGCAGCTGTAATAGTATTATAATCACAGCCATTAGATGAATCTAGATCCAATGGAGAGGATTGGTTTTTAGTTTTTAGGATAGTGAGGTTTTTAGGATGAATCTATATATATATGCATTTTCTAATCAGCTAATTATTATTATTTTTTGGTTAGACAATGACAAATAAACAAAGTTTCCGGGTTATGTTGCCGCGGGTAAATATAAAACAAAACTAGTAATAATAAAATGAAAATGCCGCGAAGATGTGCATCCATGCGTAAATGGCAGCGAAATTAACGCGAAGAAACTAATAAAGTCTCATCTTCTTCCTTCATCTCGGTTACAGCTTCCCCCAAAAAAAGAAAAGAAAGGAAAAAAAACCCTAACCCTAAACCTAATTCCACCATGGGAAACACTGAGAAGCTCATGAACCAGATCATGGAG